ATTATTTCTGTGCAGAAACGTATGAGACTTCTCAATCGACAGCTGTATTTAAAACAGGATGAGGCAGTGGTGCCCATTACCAGATGATGTTTATACCTCTTTAATGCCTGAGTGCTTTAATACGGAACACTTTTTGTCTCTTTCAAGAAAGTTAACAGCACCAACTTCAGAGGCTGTCAATATCATAGTTCAGTACTTTTTCTGAAATTTTTAATGCTGAAAGACTATTCTTACTTACCTGGGGAACGTCTATGGAGCTAAGTGGGGCTTCGGTATAAATAGGTATGAGTGTAATTGTGCTGTAAGAATCTCATTCTGGTATGTTCCCTTTTACGAGCATGTTCACGCTGTTGTTCTGAGAAAGATCAATCACTTAGAAAATGACCCTATAGACAGAAACTGCAGATTGTCCACCCCTGTACTTTAGTGAATCTTCATTCAGATCTGTGTGAGCAGAAAATCTGAAGGTGACATCACATTATCACATTCCATACAAACAACATGTCTTTAAATCTGGCCAGCAGTTTTAAGCAATTCTTAGAAGTGGGAAATTTTATAGTTGAGAAATAGCAATGAAATCTGTTCCATTCCATTTTTCCATATAAGATTACCTTCCTTTTAGCCTTTGTATTATTTCCACAAGATTCCAGTTGTGTTCTGTTTAATGTTTGAGACCCGGCTGGGAGAAATGGGTGAGCTGTTGGAAGAAAATATTCTTAAAAACATTTGGATACCAATCCTCATTTTACTCATTCATTTAATCAATTTATATGGTCACTCATCTTGATGCGATGATTCTGGGCACATTACAAGAGAAGCGTCTATAAACAGCAATGTAAGAAGCCTATAATGATAGCCAAGAGAAAAACCCAATCAACAACTACATCGTAACTAATGGCAGCATCTCATGAACTATTACTAGCTTCCTAACCCACCTACCCCAATGCCTAGGAACAAATCCAAATTTTAAAGTGTTTTATCTCCTTTCATTTTTCCAATATTCCATTTATTTTTATCAACCTGATTTCTAAGGAACGTTGAGAAAATAAAAACTGCAGGTGGAAGGATTGCTTACTGATTGTTTTGTAATCTGCAGGATGATATGACATAAAACTATAGTGTTTTGTATTTACTGCTCATTTCAGTTGATATACAACATACCCTCATGACTTCAGGAACAACAGGAAGGAAACAAAAGGTGTGACAGCAAAGTATTAAATATATCGTGGGCAGTACTTTTGGCCAGATTGCCTCTGACTTTCATCTATGTTGTTGTCCCAGGAGAAAACAAACAGTTTTCAAAAATGTCTTTCTAACAGTTTATATACTTTGTTTCTTTTTCTGTATAGGATTTGCCAAGAACAGCTTCACAAATAGATTCTGGAAATACCAGAGTCCTCACTTTCATAACATATATCGGTTGTGGAATATCAGCCATATTTTCTGCTGCAACCCTTCTGACATATATTGCTTTTGAGTAAGTATTTGTTAAATAATAATTTTAATTACACCACCGTATTTCAATCTAATCAGTATTGCCCAAAATCATTCTGTAGAGAGAGCTACAAAATCAGATTTAAAATTCAAATTATTGACTATGAATATGAGAAATCAGGAAAATGCCATAAAAGTAAAATCTGATCCTTAGTCTGCTGTACCAGCAGATAGATAAAGTAAGACATGTGTTTTCTTTGTGGTGTCAAACCCCAGTCCCCACTGATCCGGGGTTTGCCATACCTGAGGGAGGGACCCCAGGACAGGAGGTGGATGGTGGGGAGACCGAAGCTGCAAACGGCATCCTGGCCCCCAAGTGGCATGGCCCCACATGACACCGACTAAAAGCTTATTGTCAGCCGGCTTGCATTCGCCTGGATTGTAATTGCCTGCAAGCCGGCTTTGTTGCTCATCTTGTTATCACAGCAAGCAGGCTGTTCATTGACTCTGCCGGCAGCCCGACGATCAGCTGATCAAGCCTGCCAGTTTCTCCAAAGGCGGAAGGACATAGCTCCAGCATTCAAAAGGCTCTGGGAGGTGGAGGCTCCCAGCACGAACTTTAGTCCTATATTTTGGGGAATTTATTGTGTGCTGAGATCCGGGTTAATAAACCACTGGGAACTCAAAGCAAGTAGCATCCTGGTTGTAGGTTAGGTCCAGAGCTTGGACCTTTGAGAGGTGGCAGGAATGTGGTTTTGGTGTTGCAAACAAACCAGATGCCTATAAATAAAATAGCTAAATAACTATTTAATTCCTAAACTAGGTAAGAATCTGGGATATCATATTAAAATGCAGCTCTTACTTATTTATTCTCTCTAACATAAATGCCCATATATCACACACACATAAGTCCATATGATACCTGAATTTATTTTAAAGATTCAGGCATGGAGTTTTGTATTCCTGATAATATCCTGGTTTCTATGGAAAATTAGAAATCAAGCCCAAATTACAAAACAATCTGCTAGAATAAATATATCACTTAAAAGCAAATTCATATACATTACTTTCTCAGTGGACAAGTTTATAAACGGACTTACCTTTTATCAGTTGACACAAGTACATCTGCGTGTTCCATTATGGCCTAAATAATTCTGAGGTTCAAGAAAAAAATGTCAGAAAATGAATAGGATGGAATTCTTACTTGATTACATTGTAATTTGCTATCCATTTATCACCAGAAAACTGCGAAGAGATTATCCGTCCAAAATCCTAATGAATTTGAGCACAGCTTTGCTGGGCCTGAATCTGGTCTTTCTCCTGGATAGTTGGATTGCATCATTTGACATAGAAGGCCTCTGCATAGCTATTGCTGCTCTCCTGCACTACTTTCTTCTGGCAACTTTCACCTGGATGGGCCTTGAAGCTGTTCATATGTATATAGCTCTAGTAAAAGTGTTCAATACGTACATTCGTCAATACATATTAAAATTTTGTGTGATTGGTTGGGGTAAGTAAGACTCTTTTACATTTTTTGTTTCATTCTAGCTCCTGAAGTGACAACAGAAATACATTAAATATATAAGAATTATTTTTGGTTTTCTAGTTTTATATTCCTCCTTTCCCTCTTCATTTTTGGCTAAATTAATACTTATTATAAGTTGCAGAATTGTTCCCAGATAAGTTCCAATATTCTACAGGTATAATTTGAAAAGTTTTAAATATTTCATATAAGATTTTTCCAGTTAATTTTTATTCCTAAAAGTGAGCTCTTTCCTTTAAATGTAATTTCATAAGTTTATCTGACTTATTTACAGAAATCAGTAGGAGTAGCCATACATATTGATAGCTTAAAAAGCCTGACCAACTGATAATCTCACAAATAGTTATGGACAGTTTTTGAACAACAAAATTAGAATCTTTAGGCCAAATAATGTGAGTTTTTATTAGCCCAATTTCCAACCATGGAGTCTATAATTCCTGCCTTGGAGTCATTTTTATTTAATGAAGCATTTGCTTGGTTTCTTTTACAAATAAAAAAGTACCCAATGAAGTTATATTCATATAAGTAGCAGAGGAACTGAAGCTGAGAGCAAGCAATAGGTTCCTTCATTTTATGTATCAATTGTTTTTATTCTGCGTTATATATATTCATGGCTACAAGGAGCATTTTCATAGCATAATCTTTATACATTATAATCTAACACAGCATGGTAGTAACTGATTCTTCTATAAAGCTAAAGAAAAATTACTAAAGAAATGTATGAAATTCATAAAGAAATATGTTGTATATACTGTAAGAATGCATTGTGAAGATTATGTTGGTTAATACATTCTATGAAGTATGCTATCATTTGTAGATAGTTTTTCTGAGCCTTTAACTAAGTGCTGTTTTCAGATTGGAAGGAAGGACAGCTTTTATTTATAAAACAGTGAACAGTGATTCCAACAAATAAATGTACAGTTCATGAAACGTAACTCCTATTCACTTCGCCTCCCCCCTAAATTTGTAATTTTTGAATTATGAAAAAAAGCTTGTAGGGCTTGAACACAATTGTAGTATGCAACGATTCATAGAAAGAAAGACATAATCATGAAATAACAGCAATAAACTAATTTGTGAGTAGATTTCTTATAATTTTAACTACATTATTGACACCCATTTTGAGTTACCATACAAAATACTAACTATTCATCTAGAATAGAATGGGGCACGATAGTTCAGTGTTTAAAGATGCTGAGCTTGTCAGCTGAAAAGCTAACAGTCCAAGTTTGAGACCCAAGCACTGCACAACAAGGTGAGCTCCCATTCCTTGTCCCAGCTCCTGCCCACCAAGCAATTAGAAAGCACACAACTGGAAGTAGAAGAATAGGTACCATTTCGATGGGAAGATCACAATATACCTTTTTTTTAAAAAACAAATTTTATTGATTTTAAAGACAAACAAACCATCATTAACCATTAAATACATAAAACCTCTTTCCATTATTAATTTTACAAGTCAAGTAAAATATTATTTTATACAACATAATTCTGCTTTACACCATTTCAATATGGACATATAGATATCTCTTAACAAATTTCTCATTATTTCTCTTTTCGTATTCAATTTCATTATTATTATTATTATTTTCTATATTTATCCAGTTTATAATCATCATCTACATTTCTCTCTGACTTGATTACCATTATTCTCATCCAACATTCCTCCGAGGTTTTATTAATTTTCAAACAAAACATGAACACACAAAACACAAAAATATAAAACTTCTTTTAAGAAAGTAGTTTGGCCCCAGATTACCTCTCTTTGTATGGACTTCAATTAAATTCGTGCTCATCTTATATACCATTACCTATCTTATTTACCATTCTATATCTTCTATATAACTTCTCCCGCTTTTCACGCTTCTTATTTCTATTTTATTTAATTCATTTTAATTTAAATCATTGTATTTGTATTTTTTGCCCATTCTTTCCAAATTATCCATTTATCTCATTCCCTACAGTAAGAAAAAAAAAAAGGATTTCTCCTGAAATCACTGATCAGAGTGTGATGCCTTTCTATCCTCCCCCTAAATTAATATTTAAAATAACGCCTAATACCCAATCTGATTCTGCTTAGTACATTCTACCTGCTAACCTTTAAAAAGAGAAAAAAATAATAATAATAAGTCCATAATAATTAATATAATTAAATAATAAATCTAAATGTTAAATCTTATAACATTCCAATTGTCTATTTCAAAGGACAAGTGCTACAATAATGAGTTTATAATAAAATCAAAACAATAGTCAATTAAACTTTTTAATTAAACTCAGTATTTTAAACATTCCTTTTAATATTTTGTTAAATTTTAAAATCTGTCATTACTAAACATTTCAATATTTTGATCTTTTATTAATTCTTATAACATTCTAGTTTTCTATTTCTAATACAAGTACTACAATACCATCGTATGTACCTTGCAGAATCTTCTTTTTTAAAGAAATTATACATTACCCTTTATCCCTAAAAAAAATTCCTTTTTTCCCATCTTGTTTCATACCTTTGTGGCTTTTTCCTCTCTTTTCCCTTCCTTTCTTATCCCACCTGGCCTTTTTACCCTCCCCTCTACTAACCTCCGCCTTTTTAGCTTCCCCTCTCTGTTGTATTCCTTTTTCCTTTTGCTTAGTAACATTGAGTTGATTTTGCATCTTTGTTTTTTTAAGTCTTAAGTCCTTCATTTTCCTTCCTTTCTTTCTCTTTTCTCTCTTAATTAAATTTTTAGATTCATTGAAGATGGCGTTTTCTTCTTCTTCTTCTTCTATTTCCTCCATCTGTTGTTGTGTTTGCTGATAAATAGCAAGCGCCATTTCTAAAAAAAGGAAGGCTTCTTTCACAGCGTCCTTGCTTTCTTTCTTTATTTCTCCATATTCCTTTCTAAGTTCATCAACAGGTAAAGCCATTGTGAATCTTTTCTTTGTTCTTCTTCTTAAAGCAACCAAGATGTTTCAAAAGTTAAAACAATTCCCCAAAGTCCCAGAGACATCAAACAGTCCAGACAAAGCACAAAGTTCTCACTTTCTCTTTGGGGTGGTATCAGTAAAAAGGAAAAGAAAAAAAGCCCAATCTGTATTTTAGAGCCTTGTTACAATTAATTCTTAGTCTCAAAATCTTCAAGACATCTCCTCCAGCAAAATCTTAATATTTTTTTTGTCCTCTCCCTTCCCACTTATAACAAGAAGCCAAGTTTTTACCTTTTATAAAAAAACAACAGGTTTCTCAATGGCCATTTGTTGATTCCATAGGGAAGGAGAGTAAACTTTCCATTTCAGCACCTCAATTTTGCCGCTTGAAATTCTCCTCTGGAAACAAAGTATCGTTCAAGAAGTCATATTTTTCAGGATTAGACGCCTCTTAAAATCCTGGGTCAGCCAAAAAACTTTCTCTGAAACTTTCTCCTCTCTTCCTCCTGCTCAGTCTTACCCAGCTGCCGGCTTCTTTGTGGCAGCCATTACAGACCGCCGCTCGACCGCCTTGAGAAAAGGGGGTTTTGCCGGCTGGAGAGGGGGTCTGCAACACCCCCAAATCCCTCACCAGCTCCCCCCTATCTTCGGCTGCCTCTGCGGGGCAGCCTTAGCCTCCAGATCTGTCAGGATCGGAGGCACCAAGACGGCTAGCGCCGCAGGGATCACACAGGATCGCGAATCCCTGCCGCTGGCGAAGCCGACAAACCGGAAGATCTCAAGATCACAATATACCTTTGACATACAGCCAAGGTGACCATGTGACTACGGAAATGTCTTCGGACAACACTGGCTCTCTTGGCCAAGAAACAGAGATAGCACCATGCCATAGGGTCAGACATGATTGGACAGGGAAACCATTATATTTTTTTTAAATTCTAGAATAGAACATTAAACCAAATATTATTGACATTGTGCTGAATCCTTAGAACTTAGATGGATTGGAATATCATTTTCTATAATATTTCTTCATTAAATATCCCCTAAAGCCTTATAAATTATTTTAAAAGCAACATATGGTCTAGCATTTGTCAGTTTAGCAGAGAAATGATGCTGTCCATCAATGAAGAATCTTTTATTGAAATTAGCATCTAGAATACTTTACATATGATCACTTCTTTCTCTTTAAAAGACTGGGTTAATAAGTCTTTATAAGACTTTTGATAATCATTTGCTTGCTCCTGGTATATATGACTACTCTTATCCATGGCAGCTACTTAGAGCAAAATATTGAAGATGAAAAAAGAGAGATTTTTCACCACAGAAGTGTTATGATGTATCCACAGAATCTGCTCTCGAAAGTTGGAGAGGATTACAGAAATACTAGAAAAAGTCAGCTTGTCCTGTGTAAGATATATCCTTACCAATGCAGCATCATATGCAAAACCGTTTATTATTATTTTGTTCAGCTGTTCCTCTCTTAAGGTATTTGAAAGTAGACATAAACACAAGTCAAGTTGAGCTGGCAGATTTGTTGTCATCTTTAGTGCATACACTGCAGCTTAAGGTTTACAATTACAGTGAGTATTTGAAAATGGATGAAAGTAGAAAAAAAGATGAAGCTAAACACTTTTGTTCACATCAAAAAGTTCAAATGCACACAGGCATAATAATATTTATATATACATACACACACACACACACACACACACACATATATATTTGTTTTCTTAAGTTTTCGTGGGTATTTATATGTATGGTGTTCAGCTTTGTTCGGGTATTTTCCCACGTCATTATAGTTGTGCTTTTAAAGTTGTAGCGACGTTTCAGCAGAATCTCATCTGCTATCATCAGGCTTCTGTATTGTGTTTGTCTGTGAGTCAGACTTACACAGCCGTTTCTGTTTTAAATTTGGTGCTAGCCTACTGCTGTGCCAGAATGCTTTTTTTCTTCATCCTGAATGGTTGGTAGTCTTGGTCTGTGTTTATTGGTCTTGGAGTTAAATTAAATACATATGAAGCTGATAGATAAGACACCAAGTCACTAACATCCAACGCACAAGCAAACCACCCAAAAGTAACTTACACAAAGAGGAACTAAAAGCCCTGCAAGCCCTAAAGAACGACAGCAGCATAATCATACTTCCAACAGATAAAGGTAATGCCGCAGTAGTAATGGATAGAAAAGACTACGAAACAAAATTGACAGACCTACTCCAAGACTCCACATACAAACCCATAAACACGGACCCAACCACGTATCTGGAAAAAATAACCAAGAAGAAAATCATAACCAGTAACATGAGCAAAGAGATCCAACAGACAATCATCCCAAGAGAAAAATCTTCCAGATGCCTCAAACTATATGGCCTCCCAAAAATACACAAAGAAGGCATACCTCTCAGACCCATAGTCAGCTCCAGAGGAGCACCACTACAAAACCTAGCCAAATACCTAGCAAAATAGCTATAGCCCCATGCAGAAGCAGCAGCTTCACATGTACAAAACTCATACCACCTCTTGGAAATGATCAAAGATCTACACGGGGAACAAAAAGATCTGCTTGTAAGTTTCGACATGGTTTCACTATTCACTCAAGTCCTGATAACAGAAACCCTAGAAATCATCAAAAATAAATACCAACCACCCAAACACCTCATGGAACTAGCAGAACACTGCTTAACCAACACATATTTCATATATAAAGGACAAAGATACAAGCAAATTGAAGGAGCCCCTATGGGATCACCACTGTCACCCATCATTGCAAACCTGTTCATGGAAGAATTTGAATCCAGAGCCCTAGCCAATGCCACCCACAAACCCAAACTATGGTTAAGATACATCAATGACACATTTGTTATTTGGCCCCATGGAAAAGAAAACCTAAACAATTCCCTAACACACCTAAACAGCACACAATCCAAAATCAAATTTACCATGGAAACGGAAACAAACAACTACCATTCCTAGATGTACTAATCTACAAAAAAACAGATGGCACACTAGGACACACCATATACCAGAAGAAAACACACACCAACCGCTACCTCAATGCCCAATCCCACCACCACCCAGCACAGATAAACTCCGTGGCCAAAACACTAATTGCCAGAACCAAACACCTGGCAGGCAAGACACACATAAAGAATGAACAATGCACCCTGACTAAAGTACTGACAACCAACGGCTTCCACAAAAGCAAAATCACTGGCCTGATCCACAAAAACACACTGAGACATAATGGAGACCTAGAAGATGAACAGACCTATGGAACAGCTGTCCTGCCCTACATACAGGTACTACAGAAAAAATCAGTAACATACTACACAGGCATCACATCAAGACTGCCTTATTAACATACAGAAAAAATAGCAGCCATCCTAAAAAAAACCAAAGATAAAATTGACCTGGAAAACCAAGGCATATATGAAGTCCCTGTGCATCATGCCCTGCCACATACATTGGACAGACCAATAGAAGAATAAGTACCCGCCTGGATGAACACAAAAATGCAGTAGAAAAGCTGGAACACACTTCCTCACTAGTCCAACACATGAAAGCCACAGGTCATAGCATCGACTTCAATGGCACCAAAACCCTAGTCACTATAGAAAACCCCAGCTACAGAATTATCAGAGAAGCCATAGAGATTGAAAAAAGACCTGAAAGCATGAATAGAAGAGATAACACCACCAGACTGTCAATTATTTGGAAGCCTGCACTCATAAGGGTCAGAGAGTGAGCTGAGTCATTGAGCCACACCCCACAGGGGATAAAAGTGGGTGTGTTTTCTCCTGAAACTTTGTACGAGACAAAGTTTAACCTTACTTCAGATTTTCTTCGTGAATGACTATTTTTGTGGACGGCCTTGTGATTTTCTGTGAGTAAAACTTTTATCAGTTCGGACTTGGCAGGCAGGACATATGGGAATGCCAAGAATATTATCAGTTCCAAAGAATTAACTCTGTGAAGTCCGAGCCAGCTTGCCTGCCTGTGTTGGTGTGAGTTTGTACTCTTTCATATTTTGGGAAAGAGGAAAGGCGAGACAGAACACATACACACACACACACACATACACACACACACATACACACACTTATTAAGTTTTCGCGGGTACTTACAAGTATCAGCTTGGTACTTGTACTTGGTACTTAAGTTTTCGCGGGTACTTCAGCTTTGTTTGGGTATTTTCCCACGTCATTATAGTTGTGCTTTTAAAGTTGTAGCAACGTTTCGGCAGAATCTCACCTGCCATTATCAGGCTTCTATATTGTGTTCGTCTGTGAGAACACAATACAGACGAACACAATACAGAAGCCTGATGATGGCAGATGAGATTCTGCTGAAACGTTGCTACAACTTTAAAAGCACAACTACAATGACGTGGGAAATACCCGAACAAAGCTGAATACCATATATACATACATACATACACACACACACACACACACACACACACACACACCACAGTATTTTAGAAATGTTGATAATTGATTTTAAAGGTACTGTTGCATTAATTTGCTCTATTAGATGATGTGGCAGATGGCTGAGATTCATAAGGTGGAAAGCCGGAGTTCTTACCTCTTTTTTCAGACGCCTCATGTCTTCACATCCTTTTGAAGCTTCTACTGTGAGGTAGCATCTTGGTACTTCCTGCTACCACCATCTTATGAAGATGCCTCACCTGGCATATATACCTCATTCCAGTGCTTTTAGAGAGATAGGACTCTTACACTCTATCCTTTCTTTCTGATTAAATAGGCAAAATGCTGAATCACTTTCTGGTCATTCATGTAACATATAAGTACAGCAGTTAGAGAGTTCAGCCTTTCCTCCCCCATGAAAAGTGAATCCAATCCCATAGGAAATTTTAAAAAAATTATATGATGAAGATCCATGTGTACTCATGTATGTATGAATCTGCAGCCTACATTCACAACAGATGGATTATGATATGTTTATAAAACTTCCTTTTGTTGTGTTTTATTGCAGGTTTACCAGCATTGGTAGTAATTATTATTTTATCAAGCACCCATGCAAATACAAATAATATTTACAACAACATTTTAAATGACAAAAATAATAAGGAACAAGATGGAGATGATTTGTAAGTACTTGGTTAAAATATGATGGTGCAGACAACCTAGCAAATGCTTTTAAATCATTTTTAAAGCAATGTGAATCCAATAAGAGTATGTATCTGAAATGATGGTAGCAAAGGCAGATATGATAAAGACAAATTTATCATGATCCTCTTCTCTCCAAGTAGCCAGTTAAGTAAGCTTTCCACTTTGGTTAAAATGTAACGCAAGTAGTTCTACATCAGGCCTGTCAAACTGGCAGCCCTCAGGCCACACCCACCACAGCTCCACAAAGGCAAAAAACGATCCAGCCCATGATGCGATCAAGTTTGACAGCCGTGTTGAGATGTTGGATGAAGAAGAAGCAATATTTAGGGAGACATGATGTGCTTATGCGATTTTCTAACTTAGTGGGAAAGGGCATGTTCTCATGAACATTACTGTCCTGTTTGAACTGTGGCACACGATTAATAATATTTTAATAAGTCAGTGCTAACAAATTTTTGGGTTAGAATTCTAATTTTTACTACATGATGATACTTCTAGAAATATTTAGTAGAAACCATTGACTTAGGTTAGTTCAGGAGTTCACATGAATGTACTTTGCTTCATGTTGCTTATGGACATAAATATCTCTCATCATATAGCTCCAAAATTTGATAAGCTTAACTTTCCAAACACATGTGCATAAATGATTTAAAATAGAGGTAGTCATATTTTTTTATCTCCAGTATATGAGTTTATTGCTGAAAAGACTAGTACAGGTAGTCCTCAACTTATAATTGACCCCAAAATTTTGTCTCTTGCTGAGACAGTTGTTGAGTTTTTGCCCCGTGTTATGACCTTTCTTTCCACAGTTGTTAAGTGAATCACTGCATTGTTAAGTGAATAACATGGTTATTCACTTAACTTTGACTTTGCTTGTCAGGGTTGTAGGTGTGAAAAACACTCCCCGGTCACTTTTTTCAGTCCTGTTGCAACTCTGAAGAGTCACTAAACAAACTGTTTTAAGTTGAGGACTACCAACATTGTGACATAGCATTTATTCTGCTCCTTCTGGAGTTAACTTCCACTGAAATCAAAGGGATTGACTTTCATTTTTATACTTTTAGATTGAAAACTTTACGCATAAAATGTATGTTTTATGTGACATTTATTTGAGCTTTTCATTCCAATATAAACAAACATGTTCCTGGTGAAATAACCATGCATTCTGTGAATATTCATTGTTCATAGGCTGTTTTCATGGTGTCTAAACTCCATGTCAATAAATATTGAAGTTGCAGTTTCAGGATTTTTTAAATGTAAATCAGAGATGATTATAAAATTAGGAATATTTACATTTGGGTCAGTACCAGGCTGGATATTGAACTTCTTCAGATAGATTTCAGGAAACCAGAGTGTGTTTGCATATTAATCTAATGGATCAAAAGAAGCAACAGATTTTAAGTGTTCTCATGCTTGTTCAGAAAAACATTTAATCTTCACTGAGGAAATTATGGCAATATTTGAAGTATCTAGAAGTACAGAATAACTAATTCTGAATCTGATCATTTACTAATCCAGCATTACCTTGATATACAACTTTAAGGAAGTAATAGTTAAAGCCTTTTACTTTTGTTTAAGTGACCCAAAGCAACCAGAATTAATAAACCAATTTTATAACATGAGAAATAATGTAGAATTAATATTTTTTTTACAGCTGCTGGATTAAAAGCACCGTTGTGTTTTACGTGACTTGTGTTGGCTACTTTGGAATCATGTTCCTCATGAACATTGCCATGTTTGTTGTGGTGATGATGCAAATCTGTGGACGAAATGGGAAACGGACCAATAGGACTATGCGGGAAGAGATCCTGAGGAACCTGCGTAGTGTTATTAGCCTGACTTTCCTCCTAGGCATGACATGGGGTTTTGCTTTTTTTGCCTGGGGGCCACTATATCTCCCTTTTGTGTATCTCTTCTGTATTTCCAACTCACTGCAAGGTAAGTAGAGAACCATTTTGGAAAAACAATATAAATAATATCTTAACTTCTGGCACAGGTATATTATATGCATTATGTAGCACTCTTAACAGATACATTGTACTTAAGATTTGTAGATTTAAGCCCATACAAACACACACACACACACACACACACACACATACACCAGGGGTGAAATTCAACCACCTCAGCCCACCTCGGGAGAGGTGGTAGGGACGATTTAAATCGGTAAAAAATCGCCCCTGGTTGCTATTACTATTATACCAAGTATACCAAGCCACGCCCACAGCCACGCCCACAGATCCAGTAGGATAAAATTTTGAATTTCACCCCTGACACACACACACACATACACACACACACAAATGTAAATAGTAATGAGTCACATGACAGTAATTGATGATAATAGAATTCAGAAACTTCATATCATGGTAAGTAGAATTTTTTGGAACTGGAAATGGCCTCCAACTTACCCTGTTCTGATTGTTTGAGGAAAGTTTAATTCATCCAAGTCTTTCAAGTAAGAAATGTGGACTTGGCATATTTCTGCTTTCCAACTAGAAACTTATTCAAAATATCTAATTTAGAATTAACAATGCATTCCAAAATTAATTCTAAAATGTTCCTTATTATTGAAATAGGAAGGGGACGGGAGTTTAGCATGAACTAGTGGTTCTTGTTCTAAGCCATGACCCATAGAGTTGATTAAGGATTTTTTTTTCTGATTTTTCTCTCATTTTTATTAGATGATGATGATGATGATGATGATGATTAATGTTACTATTATTGTTGTTATTGTTATTATTTTGCTATCTACTCTTGCCATATCAAAATTTGATATCTTGCTGGCAAACAGAATCCTGAACCATTTTACACGATTTCTTTCTACTATTTCACTAGTTTGGAAAGAATAAAAGGGGGGAAATATATTATAAGATACTATTACATTATAAGAAGTTCATTATTTTTGTCATTTGTTTATTACATAAGAGCAGATGAAGGATGCAAACATTAAATTATCTCAAAAAAATCCAGATTTTGAAATATTTATCATATAGATAATGTGTGGCTTTGTTTTAATAACATTTAAATTTAGTTATGGTTTAGGTTCAGCTTATAAAGCCTGTATCACTTCCCCTTCAGCAGAGGTGGAGTTGATTTTTGTAGCAGAATTGGAATAAATTTGGTACCAAATTAAAAGGGATATCTTTTTCACGCCAACTGCTCTCCATTTGTTTTTTCAGTCATTTCCCTTTTTATTGAAAATACTCCCAATTTTATTTCATGCCATTGCTTTCCCAAGGGTATTGTCAGACAACACCTATCATGTGTGATAGAAAGCTTGAATTGGTGCAGTTTTACAAAGACTGCAAAGGTTTCATTTTTTAAAAAAAAGTGAACTGAAAGGTATTCATCAGAGCTATCTCCTTACTTGATTTTATTGGAATTTATTGAGCACTCTTACCAGGAAGGTCATGGAATCTGGGTTCTTATCCAAAATCCAGATGAATTATTAAAATTTGTTCTTAGAAATTCAATGAGAGTTCCAAAACAAATTCACATTTATGCATTTTTCAAAGAATCCCACTGTTCTTAGGAAGAAGAAAGTTTCCAGTTTAGCAAATAGCCCTAATAGCAGCCTGAATTAATTAGTTGAAGGAATTTAACGGGGGAAAAAATATTTAACACATAAAATGAATGTTTATCTCCATATACAGTGTGCCATAGAGACATCTTGAAGTATAGATATGGAATTTTTAAAACTAAATAGAGAAATAGAAAAGTATTAATAGTATTTGTTAGAATACTATATGTTAAAATAATTAATTTAACATTTGGAGTACCTTGTCATTAAAAAAGAAAGGGCATTTTCTGTTTCACTAATATAATTAACTGGAATAAAATAAGATCCTTTTTCTTAAAAAATGGGACAGCAATATAACAATTGCCAGCTTATAGGATGTCCATGGCAAAATTCCATTGGACCAACAAGTAAGGTAGAACAAAATGAACATGCTACAGTATGTTGTTTATCTTCTACCTCTACATCCAAATAGATGTAATAACAGACAAGATGATTTTGTGTGTGTGTGTCTGTGTGTCTGTGTGTCTGTGTGTTTTCTTAAGTTTTCACGGGTATTTATATGTATGGTATTTAGCTTTGTTCGGGTATTTTCCCACGTCATTATAGTTGTGCTTTTAAATTTGTAGTGACATTTCGGCAGAATCTCATCTGCCATCATCAGGCTTCTGTATTGGGTTCATCTGTGTGTCAGGCTTTCACAGTCCCCTGCGCATCATGCCCTGCCACATACATCGGACAGACCAATAGAAGAATAAGTACCCGCCTGGATGAACACAAAAATGCAGTAGAAAAGCTGGAACACACTTCCTCACTAGTCCAACACATGAAAGCCACAGGTCATAGCATCGACTTCAATGGCACCAAAACCCTAGCCACTATAGAAAACCGCAGCTACAGAATTATCAGAGAAGCCATAGAGATTGAAAAAAGACCTGAAAGCATGAATAGAAGAGATAACTCCACCAGACTGTCAATTATCTGGAAGTCTGCACTCACAAACAAAAAAATCTCCACACCACAAGCCAAGCAAACACCTGGGCACAAACAGACCCCCCCGATACCTCCAGCCCAAACATATCCCAACCAGACACCCAGATGAAACCTAGCTTCCAGCCAATCAAGACAAAAAAACACTACAAAACAGACAGAAGATATTAGAAACACCAATCAAGCAGAACACAGCAAACTCCAAGACCAATAAACACAGACCAAGACTCCCAACCAATCAGAATGAAGAAAAAACAATTCTAACACAGCAGGAGGCTAGCACCAAATTTAAAACAAAAATGGCTGTGAAAGCCTGACACACAGACGAACCCAATACACAAGCTGGATGATGGCAGATGAAATTTGCCGAAACGTCACTACAACTTTAAAAGCACAACTAGGCACTTTTGGTGCTTAGCCACTATAGCCACAGAATTATCAGAGCCACAGAATTATCAGAGAAGCCATAGAGATTGAAAAAAGACCTGAAAGCATGAATAGAAGAGATGATTCCGCCAGATTGTCAATTATTTGGAAGCCTGCACTCACAAACAAAAAAATCTCCACACCACAAGCCAGGCAAACACCTGGGCACAAACAGATCCCCCCTGATACCTCCAGCTCAAACACACCCCAACGAGGCACCCAGATGAACCCTAGCTTCCTAATAAATAGTAGCCATCCATTTACTCGGGGCCAAGCCGCACTAAAAGCCTCCAATACAGGGAACACAATGTTGCCAGCCAATCAAGACAAGAAAAGCCACAAAACAGACAGAAGATATTAGAAACACCAATCAAGCAGAACACAGCAAACTCCAAGACCAATAAACACAGACCAAGACTCCTAACCAATCAGGATGAAGAAAAAACAAAAGGAGGAACGGATGGAATGTGGAGTGCAGAAGTATTAGGACTAAGTATAAAGGCATGAGGGAAATAACACTAACACTCAATAAAGCTTTGGTTTCTCCTGTTTAATGTCACCATTAAGGATACAGCATCAGCATGAGTAGGGGAGTAATGGGAGGAGAATTTTGGAAGATCATTGGAGAAAGGACATGTGCCCAAGGTTTTCTCAACTGGAGGTCATTCATATATTAACCAGTTTGACTTAAAAATGAGGTGGTCATTCTAACTGTGGTCAATATTGATTCCAAAATGACAATAGGACTGTTTGTTACTATTCATAGAGCCATTAGTTAAAGTAATATTTATTAAATTATTTTCATATAATCAAAGTTTGGAAGTTGATGAACAAGCTGAAACTTCATGCAGGAATTAATGAGTTGAACAGTTTGGAGACCCCTGATCTAATTTATTAGGACTTCTACCTTACTCTGAATCAATTAAATTCATATCTGGTTGGGTTTGCACATATGTAACAATTAGTGAAGGTGTATATCTAAATACCATATATAATATTTCATGAACGAAAGGTATTTGTGCCTTTATGTGTATTTCTTAATCTTATTTAATAAAGCCCTCGATTTTTGATTATTTTACTTTTCAGGTTTATTTATATTTATATTCCACTGTGCAATGAAAGAAAATGTACAAAAGCAATGGAGAAGGCATCTTTGTTGTGGACGATTCAGGCTGGCAGATAACTCAGGTAATATGAACTACCCTTTGCAATTCTTCTCTCTTAATTGAGCCCATAAAGCTAAAATGTACATTATAAAGTAATCTTTCATCCATGTGCTGACCTGCAAAGACCTGCTAAGCACAACTTTCTGAGATATTTAATAGAAATTATTGACTAGAAAATTGAGAATGTGCCATTTCTGCAAATGATGTTATTTCAAAGAATGAGTGTTCCCTTGCAATGTTTATGGAAATGTTTGAGGAGATATTAGAAACTAAAGCCTGAAACAATAAAAATAAATAAAGCAGTTGCTTTGATCCTTTTATCTTAGCTTTCACTGAATTAAATATATGTATTCATAAGCCTGGCAGAATTTCCATTTAGTAGATAAATGGACAAGATCCATATACTGTATAATTGTCATTTTATTCTATGATTTCTTACTATAATTAAGGTCAGTTCTACTCATTATTAAAGCAATGGGTTACTTACAGAAATGTCCTTGTAATTTTCTTGGCAGTTATATGGAAGTTATTTTCTCTTCCCAACTTTCCAGATTGCTTACTTAACTTCCTAGTTATTGTGTGTGTGTGTGTGTGTGTGTGTGTGTGTGTATATATATAAGAAATTTTGCATAATAATATACTTCCATTACAAATAGGTCATTTTTGTCATTTTTATTCACTGGGCCATCTTCACAATCCATTCTTCCATTGAGGACATTTCAGTATTTCTCCAACTTTGTTCATACAGGTAGTCCTCAACATATAACATATAAATTCAGAAACTTTTCAAAGTTACGATGGTGCTGAACAAATGATGGTTACCATTGATCATCGTCTTCTGGCCATCCCAGGATTCCCATGATCAAGTGATGATGATCTGGGCACTTGACAATCACTTTCACTTATGACCAGTTGTTGTACCCTGTGGTCATCTGATTGCCATTCATTACCTTC